CACTGGACCATCAGGCAGAGTGGCAGGTTCCACCGGGCCGACCGTTGCGGGGCCAGGGACCACCGGACCATCCGTTGTAGGGTCAAGGACAACTGGACCACCGGTGGGAGAGTCCCCGACAGCTGGACCATCAGCCCCCGCATCGGGAGCGCCTGGAACCTCGGCGGGGCGATTGGGGACCACAGGGCCAGCAGGTGGCGTATCAGGGACCGCAGCCCCATCAGCTGAAGCGCCAGGGACAACTGGCCAAGCAGCCGGAGGGGCAGGTTCCACTGGGCCACCTGTGCTAGGATCAGCGACCACTGGGCCATCTGCTGTGGGCTCAGGGACCCCTGGAGCCTCCGTTGGAGGGTCCGGGACGACCGGACCGTCAGAGGCAAGGCCGGGGACAACCGCGTCGTCGGCTGGAAGGTCCGAAGCAACGCGGCCATCCGCTGGAGACACAGGGGCTACGGGACCGGCAACCGGAGGGCCCGGGACCTCAAGGCCGTCAGCCGGAGCGTCAGAGACTCCTGGGCCAAGAGCCAGAGTAACGGGCACCGGTGGCCCATCTGTCGTCGGGTCCGAGGCGACTGGCTCGGCTGCGGTGGGAACAGGGACAACTGGAGCTTCAGGTGAAGGGTCAGGGACAACTGGAGTCTCAGCTGAGGGCTCGAGGACGCCTGGACCGTCGCCTGGGTTGACAGGGACAGCTGGCCCGTCGTCACCAGGAGGATCAGGAGCAACTCGGGTATCAGCTGAGGGATCAGGGACAAGCGGGTCACCAGCGGGAGCATCAGGGACCACGGGACAGCCCGGCGAGGCCCGGAGACGACTGGATCATCTGCGGTAGGGTCAGGGACAACCGGACCCGCAGCGGAAGTCACGGGGTCGAGGGGAGCAGCAAGTGGAGCACCACGGAGCCCAGGACCATCAGCGGAAGCGTCAGCAACCACCCGACCAGCCCCAGGAGGGTCAGGAACAAGCGGACCGTCGGCACAGGGATCCGCGACCACGGGGCCGTCGTCTTCAGGCCCGAGGGAGTCAACGGCAGCAGCAGCTGGAAGTTCAGGAACCAGTGGGCCAACAGCTGGAGTCACCGTGGCGAGCGGACCAGCACCGGGAGGATCAGGGACCACGGGACCCTCGGCTGAGGTGTCAGGGGCAAGAGGACTGTCCACCGGGGGCCCCGGGACCACTGGAGCGGCAGCTCAAGGATCAGGGACAAGTGGCACATTGCCTGGAGCCACAGGGACAACCGGGTTAGCCACAAGTGGAGCCTCAGCGGAAGGATCAGCGACCACTGGGTCATCAGCCGGCGCGCCAGGGACCAGCGGGCCGTCTTCGGTAGGGTCGGAGAGCAGTGCACCACCTGTCGTGGTATCAGGGGCAACCGGCCCACCAGCTCAAGGGTCAGGGACAACTGGATCATCAGCTGGAAGCTCAGGACCAACCGGACCATCGTCTGAGGTGTCCGGGACCGCCAGACCACCATCTGGAGTGACTGAGACACCTGGACCATCACCCGGAGGATCCGGAACCACTGGAGCAGCAGCTGGCCGACGGGCGACAACAGGGCCAGGGGCCGGGGTATCGGCGACCACAGGGCCAGCAGCTGAGGGATCAGGAAGCACCGCTGCGCCTGTCGTGGGCTCCAGGACAACTGGGCCGCCAGCCGGAAGGTCAGGCACCAGTGGGCCAACAGCTGGGGTCACAGGGGCAACCGGACCAGCCACGGCCGCGTCGCGGACCGCCGGGCCACCCGCTGAAGGGTCAGTGACAACGGGACCGGCAGCTGGAGGGTCAACGGCCACTGGACCATCAGGCAGAGTGGCAGGTTCCACCGGGCCGACCGTTGCGGGGCCAGGGACCACCGGACCATCCGTTGTAGGGTCAAGGACAACTGGACCACCGGTGGGAGAGTCCCCGACAGCTGGACCATCAGCCCCCGCATCGGGAGCGCCTGGAACCTCGCGGGGCGATTGGGGACCACAGGGCCAGCAGGTGGCGTATCAGGGACCGCAGCCCCATCAGCTGAAGCGCCAGGGACAACTGGCCAAGCAGCCGGAGGGGCAGGTTCCACTGGGCCACCTGTGCTAGGATCAGCGACCACTGGGCCATCTGCTGTGGGCTCAGGGACCCCTGGAGCCTCCGTTGGAGGGTCCGGGACGACCGGACCGTCAGAGGCAAGGCCGGGGACAACCGCGTCGTCGGCTGGAAGGTCCGAAGCAACGCGGCCATCCGCTGGAGACACAGGGGCTACGGGACCGGCAACCGGAGGGCCCGGGACCTCAAGGCCGTCAGCCGGAGCGTCAGAGACTCCTGGGCCAAGAGCCAGAGTAACGGGCACCGGTGGCCCATCTGTCGTCGGGTCCGAGGCGACTGGCTCGGCTGCGGTGGGAACAGGGACAACTGGAGCTTCAGGTGAAGGGTCAGGGACAACTGGAGTCTCAGCTGAGGGCTCGAGGACGCCTGGACCGTCGCCTGGGTTGACAGGGACAGCTGGCCCGTCGTCACCAGGAGGATCAGGAGCAACTCGGGTATCAGCTGAGGGATCAGGGACAAGCGGGTCACCAGCGGGAGCATCAGGGACCACGGGACAGCCCGGCGAGGCCCGGAGACGACTGGATCTACTTTATCATTAAAGTTTATTTTCAGCAGCTCCTTATTATTCAGAGAAATTCAGTTTGGCTTCCAGGACTGAACCATAGATAATTAACACTGTACCCAGTATATTTTTTTCACTCCTTGTTTGATAGAAGTAGTGGTTCAAAGGAAAGCATACACGATCAGCCAATAACCCCAAACCTAATCTCTTTCTTCCTACTAAAGATGTCTTTGTGTCTTACACTGGAAGAGAACATCCCTTAATTAACCGTAAAAGGCAATATGTACTAATAGAAATAAAAATAGTCAAATAGAAAAAGTAAAAAATAGAAGTAGTCAAAGATAATGTAGACTGTAATGAATTCTATAGGAAATGTGTACAGATAATTCTATAATTATAGCATAAAAGTTGAGCCACAGGTAAATGGTAAATCATCTTTAATAATAGAAAGAGTTTGTGTTTTATTTTCATTTTTAAGCAATTAAGTACTTTATATTTTCACTAACTTTACTGAGGATCCATAACTCTGATATTTCTCTTACTTAAGCTCTTAAGTCTAGCTAGTTTTAAATTAATATTCCATTTTGCGGGAGAGCATTTTTACCTGCCACTCAGGTAAAAGACAAAAAAAAAGCTGGTAGAGAATTCATCTTTTGTCTTTTAGTTTGATGTTATTCAATTGTTGCATTTTATTGATGTATATTCTGGGGAAAAATAAATATTACAGTGCCATCCTATACGCTCTCCACTAGTGTCTTTACTACCTCAGGACCTTCCTGGTACGTATAAAGAATTCATTTTTTTCACACATTAAAAAGCTTCCTTCATATCAAGCCCCTGACTGTCTTTCTTAATTTTTATTGCCTACACAGCTTTCCCTCATTCTTATTCTGTAATAGAATTCTTCTCTTCTTTGGAGAACCCATCTTCTGTGGTCATATGAGTCTGATCACTCCCCATGAAACACAAGGGAGGGAATATGATCCAGACCTGGCCAAAGTTCCCCCAGCTTCCTAGATGTTGTGACTGGTTCAGGAATAAGTACAAGACTTAAGCCAGGCCAGGCAGAATCTCCCCTGGAACATTTCTTCTGAGGCTCTCGGAAAAGACCTCCCCTGTTGAGGTTGGTAGGCTGGTGGGATACGAAGTGGGGCTGTGGCCAGCCATCTGACCTACCATGTAGCATGAGTCTGTTCGAGAGATGAAGAGCAAGAGAGAATACTACTGTCCTCATTTGAGCCCCTAGGTCTAGCTGTGACTGAAACTTCAGAGCTTTTAGACTTCTTGGTACATGAACCAATATACTCCCCTTGTGAGAAGGTTTCTTTGAGTTGCGTTTCTGTCATTTACAATGGAAGGATTTTTGACTAAAAAACTGATTCCTGAATTGCATGGTCTATGCCTCATCCATGTGCCAGGGTACCCTGTTATTTACATATTTTAAAATCCCCATCCCTGCAAGCCTTGCTTGCCTAGACTACCTACCTATTGACTTTTGAAAGATATGAAACAACACGATATGTTCTTTTTGTTGGACCCACAACTGAGAGCTGCTCCATTTAATGGGGCTCTTGGCCCAGGAGTCTCTGACGCTCCGGCTGACGGCCTTGAG